GTAGGCCTGTCTCTTATACACATCTAGATGTGTATAAGAGAGGGGGGCTTGGGGGGGGGGTTCAGCTCTCAAGGAAACATAAAAATAAAAAATAAAAAATATATGCTGTGCGCACCTCGCGCAGATGCAGCCCCGCAGCGCGCACCCCCCAGCGCACCCACACGCAGTGCACCGGCCCTGTGCGCAGTGCACCGCGTGCGCGGTGCGCGCGCATCTCACGTTCGCGCACCGCGCCCTGCGCAGCGCACAGGGTCGATGCGCCGCAAGTATGATCTATTCCAATTAAAATAAGGACGCACGGCTTAACAGCCACGCAATCCGGCGCCTGAGCGGCCAAAAGATGGCCGCAATGCTTATGTGGCCATGTCGTAAACGCGCGGGTTATTAAATTTTATTTTGCTAAGTTACCCCGGAGATGGGCTCTTTTGGGTCCAACGTCACGCCCGTGGATTAAAGGGTTGCTAATGGGTCTATTAGGCTGGACACCAGCAAGGGCGAACAGTGAGAGCTTGACCCGTTGAATGGATGAAGCAGGTGGGGCCTGGGCATTCCATTGAGGCGGAGCTCTTCATAAAGAAGAGCTGCCCCTACCTTATCATGGTAGGAGCTAGCCCAATAGGATACAGTATTGGGATGATATCAGTCGTGCGGGGATCAGTCAAACGCCCGCTTGGCTAGCTCCTTTTTGGCGAGGAGCAGCCTGGTGCTTAGTCACGGCGCTAATGATATCAGCTGTGCGATCGTTGAGATCACATGGCCAAGCGCTCTGAGATCAGTATGGCTCCGGCGCAAGGATGACACACATAAACCAAGATTTCCCCCCCAACCCCTTCATTGGGAATCGAACTTAGGTGTGACGGGGCTGAGGCAGAGCAGCGAGGTCGGGGAAGAGAGAGGGAGGGAGTGAGAGCACACACACACACACACACACTCACTCAACTCGACACGGACTCGACACGACTCGACGGACACGGACACAAAGTGGCAAAGTCGCAAAGTCGCAATCTTGGTTCTGTACATAATGTCGCAGCAAGTCACACTGAAGCACAAGCACTGAGGCCGAAAACTGAGTCCCCGAACTCAGCTTGAGTCTGGTCTTAAGTACCGGACTCAAGTTGAGTCTGAGGGCAAATGTCGAATTCGCCTCGGGGCTGAATTGAAAATCGAAGGTCTGAGCCTGGGCGCCAGAATGCCGGATGGCGCCAAGTATGAAATCCGAAAGTGGCGGAGGGGGGATTTGAGAGCGGGCGCCAACTGCAGAGGGCGCCAACAGTCAGGAACTGGAGATCGGAGACTCCAAAAAAAATAGAATAGCAGCCTGGCGGGTGGTAACCAGCGGACCAGGGATCGAGCCCTGGCTGGGTCCGTAACACTATCCTCTCCCTCTGGAAGGCAACGTCCCGGCTGCCTAAGACCCAATGAACAACTGTGAAGGACGGGACAGGGCCGATCACTTGTCAGAAAAAGGAAAGGGGGAGTAATGCAAGTAGCAAGGTAATCCTATGGAGGTTCTACAGGGATGAGGGAATCAATGCTCAGGTAACAGGGTAATCCTATTGAGGTTCTACAGGGATGAGGGAATCAATGCTCAAGTAACAGGGTAATCCTATTGAGGTCCTACAGGGATGAGGGAATCAATGCTCAAGTAACAGGGTAATCCT